TTTCTTGTAATCTCAAGCATTAGGCACCTATAACTAAGTGATTATGACATGTTTTAACTAGTTATGATTTCAATATACAAGAATTATAGAAAATAGGCATCCTAGTAGCCAAAATGGCCTTACTTGAGCTATTTTGGTTGAAATTGCGTTCCAAAACCACTTACTTGCTCTTTTCTTGTAATCTCAAGCATTAGTCACCTATAACTAAGTGATTATGACATGTTTTAACTAGTTATGAGTTCAATAGACAAGAAATATAGAAATTAGGCATCCTAGTAGCCAAAATGGCCTTACTTGGGCTATTTTGATAAAAAATGCGACCTAAACCTTCATATTGCTATTTTCTTGTAATTTCATTCCTTAGTCACATATAACTAAGTAATAATGTCATGATATTATTATGAGTAAGTATGAGTTCACTTACGTTTTGTGTATTATTCCAAGTTTTGTTTGGGTCATTCCTACTAACTAACCCCAATTATTGTTTATTCACTTCTACTAACTCACGTTTTGTGTATTCTAAGTTTTGCAAGGGGCAAACGGGACAGCCATACACGAGCGAGGAACTCCATGTAATTCGAGAGATGTTGGCGACGTACATCACATTTAATTTGTAAATATCGTTTACTAGCTAGCTACTTCATCATTCCTAGCCTTAGCTTACTTATTATGTACTATATATTATTATAACTAATTAAAATTATTTGTAGGTAACATGACACATTTTTCTAATTAATATCATTTCTTGCGATTGTTATTATTATTTATGTTTTGTTATTAATAATACTAGTTATTGTTACTATTATAATAATAATAATAATTATTATTATTAATATTAAATATTATAATAATAATTATTATTATTTAACATGTATATATTATTATTGCAACAAAAAAAAAAATACAGGTCAATGACCGTTGCCAATTTTTTTTAAAAGAAAAAAAAGGCGCCATTGTAGTTGGCAACGGTTAACCGTTGCCAACTCAAGCAATTGGCAGCGGTTAACCGTTACCAATTGCTTGAGTTGGCAACGGTTTTGAACCGTTGCCAAATATTTTGGGATTTGGCAACCCTCAAATACGCAACGGTTCAAAACCGTTGCCTTTGCGGGGGTTTGAACCGTTGCCAATTTGCTCTTTTCGTGTAGTGTTTCTATTATATTTCTTCTTTAAAGTTACTGCTTTTAACTGAATTGAAATTATTTTTACTAAACTAAACTTATTTTTACTGAACTGAAGAAAATATTTTTACTGAATTGAATTTCTTTTTTACTAAACTGAAATTATTTTTACTGAATATTATTATTTTAAGGTGAAGTGGACAGGGCCTTACAGGTGGAGGAGTTTTGAGAAGAGATTATGGAACATGGATATCATGGGATCTTCAAGTAAGTACAATGCAATTTCTGCATTTGCCACAGAGATTCTAGTTGTTAGAGAAGGTTTGCAAATGGTGAAAAGGCTCAAAATGAAGGAATTGGAGATGAAAGTTGATGTGATGTCTATTAGAGTCATGCTCCATTATGCAGGAAAGAACTTACAACATGTAATGGTTGTGGTAATCAAGGATATTGAAGAAACTATTGAGTAATTTTTTTTATTACATTAAAATCAAGTATGTCAATAGAGTCAATAATGTTGTTGCTCATGAATTGGCTGCTCTTGGTCTTTCAATGGCTGTTGGACATCGCCTGCATCTTGCATCTCCAGATTTAGTTAAGTTCATCTATAATGAAAAGCTCGCTGCTCTTGCTGTTCTTAAAGAATAAGGACCGCCCAGCTCTTTTGCTACTTATAATAACTTGTGTTAAAGGACCAATTTAACCAAGAACTTAAGCTGATGGTTGAGGCCTAGGAATATGTTTTATACTCTATCACGCCCTCTCACACGATTTGTGTCACGTTGGCTCTATTACCATGTTAAAGGACCAATTCAACTAAAAAAACTTAAGCTGATGGTTGAGACCCAGATATATGCATGTTATACATTTCAGTCTATTCTATTTTGGATAGGTTTAATAAAGTTCCCCATATATATTTTGCTGATCTTAGTTTTATTATTAGAAGAGCCTCATATTTTTCTCATAGTTTGAGGCATGTATGTAACAACGTTCTAATAGCTTCACCTTTTGAACAATCTTTGAAGCTCCTAGCTGTAATATTTTATAATTATTAATACTCTCTCCGTTTTTTTATAGGGAAAATTGTCCAGAACAATCCCACCTTTGAGGCGTCCGCTAAAAATAATCCGACCTTTATACCCAATTCGCTCAAAATGTCCCTACTAGTCATGTAACTTGTTATAACAAGTTACATGACATGTGTCGTCATCTTATTGGTCTAAAAAAATAAAAATAGAAATATTTTTTTTATGAAAAAATAAAATAAAAGAATAGTAAATTTTAAAAAAATTTTAAGAAAAAAAAAATTATCACTTAATTGATTAAAAAAAAAACCTACCCCCACCAGCCCAACCACCTACCACGGCCATCAACTTCTACCAACCCGACGCTTGCCTGACCCGTAGCGCCGGAGCAGCGCGCCTCCCCCGTTCTCCTTGAACCGCTAACTCCCCTTCCCCTGAGCCACTAACCACCGTCGAAACCCTTCCCCGTCCCGATCCCGACCTCCCTTCCCTTCCCCCGCCAAGTTTTCGGTCGACCGACTCCCTCCCCTTCCCCTATCCCTTTTCCGGCCCCCTCCCCTTACCCTCGCCCCGATTTCGGCCACGCCGACCTACCCTGTCCCCCATTCCGACCGCGTCGTCCTCCCCCGACCTCGATTCAGGCCGCGCCGACCTCCCCAACGTAACCCATTTCCTGGGGTCTAGTTTGGTGGGTTTTCGATTTTTCGAAGGGGGTTATGGGGTTGGGTTAGCTGGGGTGGGATCCCGATCGACGCGTTAGTTTCTAGGTGACGGTGGTTGATATGTCCATTTTATATAATGATTTTCCCCCGTCCCTTGGTTATATTTAGGAGTATTTTTGGCTCTACGGAACTACTTTTATTACTAGTATGCGTTTTCTAGTGCTTTCGTAGCTTTGGTATTGTTTTATAGGAAATTGCAGATTTAGAGCACTTTCCCGGATTTATTTGAGCCATATAGAGCATTGGATTGGGATCGCATACATATGACCACTTTCCGTAACCCAAGGCCGCGTTGGAGCAATCAAACTGGTGATTAAGGGCTCGGCGAAGAAGAAGAGACCAAGGCAATGGACCGAGTCTTAAAGCCCCAAAGAGGAAATCTGAATTGGGCTATGAAGGAGCCCAATCGGAGAAGTCCATGATGCCCGAGATCTTGCCCGATCGGGGAGTGCCCTCGCCCTGAGGCGCGCCCGGCCGGGCGAGGCAGAAGGAAGAAGCAACCCTCCACCCGAATGCGTGCCCGGCCGGGCGAGCGAGGAGAGGAGCCTACAGCCGAAGGCGGGCCCGGCCGGACGAGATGGCGCCCGACCGGGCGCGTGATTTTGAGGATGATTTAGGATTTCCTAGCTTAGTATAAATACACTTTTGTTAAGCGAGTTTTGGGACGTCATTCATTAGTTAATTTCCAGATTTTGATTTTAAGCTTTTGATTAATACTCTTGTTCTCTCAACTCTTTTGGTTTATGCAATTCAATATTTCCGTTTATTTTGGTAACGATTTATTTCCCTTTTATTTTCAGTAATTTAATTGCATTGCTGTGTTCAAATCATGTCTTGTTTTATTGCTTTGCTTAGTTTAGATTTCAATATGTGTGAGTAGTTTATTTCTAGGGTTTGTGGGGATACGTAAATAATACGAATGGATAATTTATTATAGTTGATTGTCAATGCTTGATTGATTTCCTATTGATTGATTTACTGCCATGCAATTAGATTAGGCCTGATTTAATTGTATGAGTTATGCAATATTGATTTGAGAATCGACAGATGAGAATTGATGTTTAGGCTTAGTTTCAATAGGCAGGTTAATTTATAAATGGTTAAGTCAAGATTCGAGATATGCGATTTAATACCGCCTAAATTAATTCTTTGATTGTAATACGTAGCGAAAGCCCTTTATAATCTGATTGATTGATGCATTGATGATTGATTATTGTGTTTTACCTTGTAGTATTATTTATTGTTGGTGAACCTATACCCTAGGATTTGATTTATTGATTTCTCCTTAGTTTTATTTTCTTTAGTTCATTTATTCTCCTTAGTTTAATTCTCACAAATAACTTGGTTACTTGATAGTTTAGATTATATTAATTATTTAGAAATATAAAGACGTTGTTTTCCTGTGGATTCGACCCTACTTCCCTATCTGCTTTAGTTAGAGGATTTAGGTAATTCTTTTGATTAGGTGATACGACTAAAACCTGTCAGTGGTTTCGGTTCTAGGTGGGGTGGTGGTTCTGGGGTCTGGGTTTGGGTGGTGGTGGTTTTTTTTTTTACTTTATTTTTTAATTTTTTTTTCAATTGTGGACAAATCAAGTTGTGACACGTGTTAAATTAAACTTAATAAAAAAAAAACTACATCTTCAACCGGTTATTGGTCATTCGGGACCACTTTGAACGAATTGGGTATAAAGATCGGATTATTTAAAAATAACACAAAGGTGGGATTATTTTGGGCGGACGCCCCAAAAGTGGGATTATTCCGGGCAATTTTTCCTTTTTTATAAGCTTTAGTTGGGATTTTCCACTATTTATATATCATCATTGACTTACTTTTTTTTTTATCAATATATAATATATAAATATGATCATATAATACATTGTTGAATTTGCCATAATGTCTACTTTAATAAATTAATTTTTTCATAATTTTTACTAACCTCTAATTAAAGATATTGATGTCTCGACAAATGTGAAAATCCAATTGATGGTTAAAGTTCCACTATCTTATGTTTAAAAAAGAAATACTAGTACAAGTCAACGTTAGAAATCAACGGTCAAGCGCACTAAATTGATTAACCATCTTGAATTAAAACCACAAACTTAATAACTTTTGTCAAAATAAGCTCAATTTTCCTTTTCAAATTATTTTAAGTCCAACATTCTAGATTTCTAGTAAATCAATAAGAAATCCACTCTTATTATGTAATACCAATAATAATAATTCAATTCACAACCAAATTAACTAACTTCTAAAATTATGAGCATGTCTTCATACAAAGTTACCACGAATAATGTACAAGTTACTCCAGAACTACCTTCCCTGCCTATTGTAGATATCCTAGAAACCGCCGGCGAAGATGTGCTGGAAATGTTTACTAGGGAATCCGGTAATCGAAACCTCGCAGCCGATCCCTCTGCCCTTCCTTGGATGGACTGCCCCGTCATTGACATGTCTCTCCTGTTGTCATCCTCCGAGGGGGAGGCTGCGGAGGAGCTTAGAAAACTTCATTATGCTCTTGTTTCCTGGGGCTCCTTTCAGGTCACTACTTCTCTTATTATAGGAGTATTTTTTTTTTTAATTAAACTTTGTTAATTATTTATTTACGTTTATATATAGTGGCATGGGTAGATTAAATACTGGGTAAACGTTTTCATATATAAAGGTTAGATATTGAATTATTTGTAAGGTTTAATTAAAAAAAGTATCGGTCAACAACTGTGCTTTTAGGTTCAAAATTGCCACTTTTATAAAAGTCATTTTTTATAAAGTAGTTAATCCGTAATATAAAATATTCCTTCTAACAAATATTTCAAAACTTTATTTAGTTGAAACTCAATGAAATTTTCTTGATTATCTTAAATATTATTTTCATGACATTGCAGCTCATAAATCATGGAATAATGGAATCATTGTTGAATAAAATACGTGAAAATAGCAAAGAATTCTTTGTACTTCCTGTCGAGGAGAGGATGAAGTATTTAAGGGCACCCAATGACCCTGAAGGCTATGGAAACGACACCGTGTTGTCGCGAAATGTTCCTCATAATTGGAATGATCGTTTGTATCTAAACGTCTACCCTGAAGATCGACGAAGGCTAGTTTTTTGGCCTCAAAATCCTTCTGATTTTAGGTTAGAAACCCTTTTTTTCCTCATCAGTTAATTTCTATTGTATAATTCATTTGATTATATTGGTTTTGACTCTTGAGTTAGCTTAGGTTTAGGATACATGGTAAGAATTATGTGCTTGATTTTAGGAAAGTTGCATTACTTTTTCTAATTCAATCAATCAATGCTTTAATCTCATAAGTGGGGTCGCCTACCTGAACCAAAAGTGATTATTCTGTCTTCTTTCTTCATCCCTTACGATCAAAATATCAAATAACACACTCTCATGCAAGTCCATATGCTTCATATCTTTTCTACCCAATTAATACTATGAATTTCAGGGGAACTTTGCATGAATTCACCATGAAAGTCAAAGAAGTGAATGAAACAATAGTTCAAGCAATGGCTCGATGCTTAGGCTTAGAAGATAATAGCTTCCTTGAGGAATATGGTGAAAGCGTGACAATACAAGCAAGAATAAACCATTACCCTAAGTGTCCATTTCCTGAACTAGTTCGCGCCTCAAGAACACATTCGGATGCATCCGCCATGACTTTCCTCTTGCAAGATAAACAAGTTGAAGGCCTTCAAGTTCTTAAAGATGATAACTGGTTTAAAGTCCCCATTATCCCTAATGCTCTCTTTGTTAATGTTGGTGATCAAATGGAGGTACACGTTTTTTATTAAAGATGCTAATCGATTTAAACTACATTAAAATGTAAACTAGTCCATAAAATTAAACTCCAACTAGCTAGTTACGGTCATTTTGAAATTTGACTATTAAAACTTGAAAAGTCGAAATCATCATATATTCTATATCTAAGATCTTGTATTAATTTTTAATATAGTATATAGACTTGCAAAAATTAATCATAACAATGACAGGTAAGACCAAATAAAGTAATGTAAAATTTTATTGTTAAATAATTTTTTTTTTTTTAACAATTATTGTAAATAAATAGTACAACGTAGAAGTAACTCTAGTAACAAAGATTGTATAAATTTTAATTAATTAATTTAATAAGTTGTTTTTTTAATAAATTTTGTAGATAATGAGTAACGGGATATTCAAGAGTGCTGTCCATAGAGTGGTTGCAAACTCAGAGAAAGAAAGGCTATCTGTAGCAATGTTTTGTTCTCCATGTTCAGAGATGGAAATTGGACCATTTAAGAAATTGGTGAATGAAAATCAACCTCCTTTGTACAAGACTATTAAACAATACGGGCAGATTTTCTTTCAGTACCACCCCAAAGGTGAAAGGCCAATTACATCCATGAAGATTTAACTAGTATATATACATTTCGGCGTCCTACTAATCTCTCTCGGACTTTTTGAATACTAGCTAGTTAAGGGTAAGTACATGTGTTGCATCTATTCGCTACACATGCATACAATTGAAAATTTCGTGTAATAATGTTGTTTAATACTTAGTATGGCATAATAATATAGTGTGTTGTTGTTGCTACACATTTTAATAGATTTTTTTGTCAAAAACAAGTTAATAAAGTCCAGATTTTGTGAGAAACTACCTATTAAAAAAAATGTTGTAAGAAACTACCTAATAAAAGGTAAAATGTTGTAAAAAACTACCTATTCAAAGGTAAAATGTTGTAAAATTCTAGCTTTACCGGAGTTTCCCCATTGACCTACCTCAAAACACCCCCGAAACCACCACTTTCTTTTCCAAAACTATCACAGCATGCTTGAAATTGCCTCCACCACGCCGAAACCACCCTCCAACCCCAAAAAACAACCTCTAACCCCAAAAACCAACATCCCAATCATGAAGCTATCGTCACCAACTTGGAATATCCTCCAACCATCCCGAAAATAATCTTATCACCTTGAAAATCAACCCTCGTGGTGGTTTCGAAGAGATTGTTATATACACCCGGGTGTACCGTACACCCATGAGTATTTTATTCTCATTTTGATGGTTGTTTTTCATTTAATCATCAAATGAAGAGCAAAAACCAACTTTGGGTTAGTTGGATGTATGGTGCACCTGGGAGTATATAACAAATTCCAGTGGTTTCGAGGGTGTTTTGAGGTGGGTCAACGCCATAAAATTAGGTCAACGGTAGAAATTCGGCCAAAGGTATTATCTTACAACATTTTACCTTTTATTAGGTAGTTTCTTATAACATTTTTTTTATTAGATAGTTTCTCACAAAAGTTAGGTTTTATTAGGTAGTTTTTGACAAAAAAAAAACCCAATTTCATTTATAACCCAATATATGTCATGCATAATTGCACACATACATAGAATATGCCAATACATCTCTTGAGTCATTAGTAAGCTCAATCTTTGTTTTCTCTAGGTTGAATTACAAATGCTTTGCTCTTAAACCATCATCACTCATGGTATAAAAATTTATACAATCTCTCTCTCTACCACTTTCTCACTCATCCACATTATTTATACCACAATACAATATACTTTATCCAAAAATCATCCCACCCATGGTATTAAAAATGTTTACCACCACACTTTCTCTCTCCTATATATATATATTAATTATACACTTAATTTAATTATAATTATATTTCAGTTTTTTATTGGAAATAACTACTCCCTCCATCCCCTTTTGTTTTCACTTTTGAAGGAAAATCATGGGAATTAAGATGGAGAATATAAAGTAATGAAAGTATATGGGAAAGTAAAATTCTCAACCAATAAAATAATAAAAGTGCATGGAAAAGAGACATTTTCAATTAAAAAAGTAATTAAAGTACATGAGAAAGAGAAATTGAGAGATTCAAGAGTGTAAAACATTAAATTAGTCAAAAGTTGGCACAATTTTTATGGCAAATGTTAGGGTAAAATAGGAAGAGGACTTAATAAAGATAAAAAAAATGAGGGTATAAAAGTCTTTTTATGTATCTTAATAATTATGAAAATATAAAATGTGACAAACATTTAGGGGCACCTAAAATGACAAAATTGACAAACAAAAGGGGACAAGGGGGAGTAATTAATATTTTTTAAGTTAATTAAATAAAATAAGCAATTTAGGTAGTAAAAAGCATTCGAAAAATATATAAAACTATATCAATATGGGTGTCTATGTATAGGTTTTGAAAATTTATGAATAATGGTAATTTTTTCATAATTTTTTACTTTATAATTTTTGCTTAAAATGCAATTGAAAAAAAAATAAATAAAAGATACATGATAACCCGGCCACATGGCCTGACCTAGTTGGTTCATGTTTCACGGGGACCAAAGCAAATGTTTACCATGTGATGGTATATACCATCAAATGGTATAGTTTTATATCACCAATGAAGTAAAAATTTGCAAGATTTTGATGAATTTTTACTCCGTGATATTGAAACTATACCACGAGTGTTAATGCTCTTAGGAAGATTTATGCGAAAGCTCACCTAGTCACAAATTTTTATAATTTTACAAAATTCAGAACATTCACCCACAAACAGGTCAAATCAAACTCAAAACGAATGCCTCTAAATATCTACTACGTATTACATTAAATTTAAAATTTATCTCACACAACGACTCATTCAACGCATGTGAAATAGGCTGTAATATCAATAACTAACTAGCTAGCTAGTTGAATCATGTTGTGCACATGGTGTTAACCCAAATTGATATTAATGAGACACATTAACCACCTTATAAGCTTGAGGAGCTACTATGATCTTCCCATAACTAGACCAATCGGTTTTGGGTGGAACATCATTAGGCCTGGTAAAATATCCAAACTTTGGTATAAGATTTGATAGACAACGGAAGAGGTAGGGGAGCAAGTCCGTGTTCAACTAGATACATCCACCCGATAAGAGTTTGACCACATATATGTTTGTTAATCTTTCTCACCATCTAATTTTTCAACGATAGACTAGTATTTATTACTACGGAGTAATATGTGGATCATTTTTCTAACAATTGATCAGTTTTCTACTAATAGTACACGTAAAAATCTAAAATATACTTCGTTTATGAAGTCTGGCCATATCGACATAGTAAAAGAATCCCCCCTTGACAAAACTAGTCATAATTGTATTAGATGCGTGAAATGATATTCTAATCTGATAATTTTATCTTATACTAGGGTAGCTAATGCGCGTGATGCGCACTAAGTCATTTCTGGAAAACTCTTTTGATTTAGCCTTATGTTATAAATTTAGTTGTTGGTAGGAGTAATGAGGGAAATTATATAAACAAATATTTTTAGGGGTATAACATAGGCACACTATTCTTAAAAAGTTCAAAAAAAGAGGCAATTAACATTAATAAAGGCAATAAGTAAATAAACATTTTAGAGGGTATAATTATCCTAACACTATTCATAAGAGTTAATTCAAACTTTTTAAAAGGTATGGATAAATAATCACTTTTTAAATTAGCTATATTATGTCCTCCATAATATATAAGTACCCTTTTAGCTCTTCCATTGACTAATACAGCTAAGAGATTGCCTTGGTTAGCCAAACTCTATCTAAATGTAGAATGATCAAAGTTATACAATAAAGTTTTATTTTTATACAGTTTAGGTGATCTAATGTCAAAAGAACATATTTTTATATGCGACTATAATTTGATGGGTTGTGGATTTCCTCACTATTGTTAATTTAGAGTATTATTTTATTTTGTTTTTGAAAATTTTGGTTATTAATTAAGTACCATGTAAATTTAGAATAATCATATTTTTTTTTTTTTGGTAATCAACCAAGTACCATTGAAATTTAAGGAGCTTTTTTTTTGTGATCAAGTACCATCTAAATTTAGGGATTTGTTTTTATATATAATCTACATTTTACCCTTTTATAATTTTAAAAAGTTTGCACAAATTTTTTTTTGTAAAAAGTTATTTAAAACATTTCAACCCTTAGACAGGTGATTCTACAAAAGAACTTTACCTGTCTATTAACATTTATCATCAATTTCAACGCCTTATTAATTAGTTTCATCTATTATCTTCCATTTTATTTAGCTTGTCGGTTTCATCTCTATTTCAATTAGTATTGCCAAACCTAACGATCACATTGTAAATCGAATGTAATCTAATATTATATAAATAAAGTAGGCATTTTTGGAGAGTATTCGGAACGCCACGTAAGAAATATACTTATTTTGACCAATAAGAAGAAAGATTTGTATTTTATTTTGAATTAAAAAATTATGTCGCCACCTAGATAAAAGTAACGAATTAATAAGAAGAAAGATTTGTATTTTATTTTTGAATTAAAAAATTATGTCGCCACCTAGAGAAAAGTAACGAATTAGATTTGATATATCTAAAATTTTAATGTCACGTAGATTATAATCCACGAATTAAATTATTTTAATGAAAAAAATAAAGTAAAAATATAGGAAAAGATAAATTTACTAATTCAATACTACGAGTATAAGAAATCCAAAAATAATATACTAAGAAATATTTAAATGATAAACGCTTATAATAAAATTTGATACCTATCATTATAAGATAAATTTTGATAGTATTTATGATAAGAAATACAAATTGTTCGTTAATTATAATTAAATTAAAATTTGTGATACTTACCATTATAAATTGACACATCATACGACACAAACAAAATTTCGTATCAATAAAAAAACCCCATCAAGCGAATTTTGTGTTAGTAATTTTGTGTTAATTTTTGGTCATCAATGACCGGGTAATTTTAGCTTAATTTTTAAAATACTATGTTCAAATTAGTATTTCTAATTATTACTTACATTGTATTAATTTGGGATACTCAATGATTATATGTTTATGTTTTATTTACTAAATGTTTTTTTACATGCAGATCTAACACATCATACGACACAAATAAAATTTCGTATCAATACAAAACCCCATAAAGCGAATTTTGTGTTAGTAATTTTGTGTTATTTTAGGTCATCAATGTCTAATTTTTAAAATCTTATGTTTAAATTTATATTTGTAATTATTAGTTACATTATATTTATTTAGGATACTTAACGATTATTTGTTTATGTAATGGCATACGATTAGATGTTGTATACATAACATATGGATGGCTTTGGTTATTTTTAGAGATGATGAAAAAATTCCTATGCATAGATTTGATTTTATATCGCAACAATTTTTCATTTATTGGTAAATATATTGATTTATTTTATATATGTTAAGATTTAATTTATATCAATTTCAGTGTGGCTAACATTTCACAGTTTAATTTATCCGTTGATGTAGTAGGTTGGTTGTGGACGAGGTTGATGATTCTATCGAAATAAAAGATATGGTAAAACAATGAATAATGATTTAGGATTTAAATTATTAAAAATTTATCATTTCACATTAAAGATTTTATTAACGGAAAAAATATCATATTTACAATTTATTTATATTTAATAAATTCATTATAAATTATAGTAAAAAATAAATATTAAACTTTTGTAATTTTGTCTGAAATTATTAAATACAATAAATCAAATAATTAAAAATCTTAGATGAAAAAACCGTGCATCGCACGGACTTTCATCTAGTAAATGTATAAAAACAAATTATTAGTTATATACACATGCCAATAACAACTACTTTCCCAATGAGAGGGTGATTTTAAGATTTACAAGTATCATATGCATGTTCAATATAAGAAATCTCCTCTATATAAGAACCCAATCTTATATAAGAACCAATCTTAGTCGTTTATTAGTTTTGATCTAACCGTCCAAAATGATGCTCTACTAATGACATTTTTGTAATTTGGAGGAGTTTATTTAAATTCCTTTTCCTCTTCCTTCATCTCGTTATTTTATGTTCAACAGATTGGCGAATGTTCATCAAATTCATCACGATATTTTCACAGATTATGGATTAATTATTGTAAGTTTATTAATTTTATAATCAGATTTGTTTTAAATTTAATGATTTTTCATGCGAATTTGATGCGATTAATTTCATGCGATTTGGTGAAATTTTACGATTAGTTCTACGATTGTGGATTATTATTGCGCTTTTGATGAAAATTTTCGAATATTTTCTGCATTTTTTTATCCATTTCTTTAATGTGCTTTCTGCGACAACTTCAATTGAAGAATTTTCGATTATATTTGTTGAATATCTACCCTAAGTTTGATTATTTTCTATTATTTAATTTTTTGGTTGCTTTGTTTTTTTTTTTTTTTTTTTGCGTCATTTTACAAGTTTTTTCGTTAATTTTTGGATTTTTTACGTCATTTTATCAGTCTTTTTTATTTCTTTTGCAATTATTTTGCTACCTAGGTGTTCGAGTGTTTTTTTTTTTTTTTTTTGAATAATCTATGTTCGATTATATGCTAATCTTTTTTTCTTCTAAAATGACTTATGTGAATTGTAAATTAGTTTAACATATTCTAAATTATAATTTTGTAGTTATAATTAAGACCACATGTTTCTAAACTCTTGTTAAGCATGTTCTAAATTAGCGAAACCCACTTGTTGTGTTCTTAATTGTTAGTGATGGTTTCTTTGTATTCGTGGATGGTTGGTGCTATTCTTGATTATACTCAAGCTGTTCCCAATAAGAGGGTCCTTGCTTTCATAGGTGATGGGAGTTTCCAATTATTTTAATAAATGAAGTTTTTCCTTGTGTGTTATCCTAGCTAAATTTGGTGGTGAAGCAGAATATATATGTATATATATATTTTTGAAATATAATTGATCATGTCCTAAATATTTGTGCACATGCTTGTATGCTATAAAGTCTAAACTATGATGTGTATCTTCTAGATGATATTTACGTCGCTGTAGACACATATTAGTTTAGATATATTCAAATTCAATTCTGTCAAATGATTATATGATGAAATTATTATTCTTAATAAGAGTTGGCAAGATTGTGTTATAAATACATGCTCGAACTTGGTAAAGCTGTTATTGATTTTGACTGTATGCATTTGAGTATCTAGCTTCAGAAGAACTTATTAATGTTCGCAGGAGTGTGTAAGGGGAGCTCTCAAAGACAAAACTGTGCTGCTTTTAACCCATCAAGTTGACTTCTTGTACAATGCAGATCATATATTTGTAAGCTTTATGCATGTTTATAGTGCTTTCAAATAAGTTCTCATGTTGTATTTGTAAGATGTATGCATTATCATTATATTTATATGCATGGTTATTGTGTAAATGTGTCCCATGCTTCATGAAAGCTTAGTAACCACTAATTGCATGGATTATTTCAGAAGTATTGCAACACCTTTTGTTTTATTTACTCACACATTAGCCAAACTCTTATAGCCTTATATGCATAATACAAATCACAGTGTTACTTTTACTTTAGCTTGATATTTCTCCTTCACAAAATCAACACCGGTTTTGAACAGGTGCCCATTTACACTTTTCTACTAGTGAAAGTTATCCTTTTATGTATTAAAGTTTTCTTATATGTTCTAAATTTTACTCTTTATGTTCTAAAGTTTACCTTATAATTTATAAAGTTTCCCTTTATGTTCTAAAGTTTAGCATATATGTTCTAAAGTTTATGCTTTTAAGTTCTAAAGTTTACTTTTATGTTCTAAAGTTTTCTCTCTATGTTCTAAAGTTTATTCTATGTTTTATATGTTTTAAAGTTTAAGCCAAGCTTTCTCGGAAAAGTAGTGCAAACCGCCTTATATCTTGAAAAAAAATTAAAGGGGCCCTTATGTTTGTAGCCATTGGCATAGAATCACTATTATCATATCCACTTAGAACTTATTACTTTGACGTTGCTGGTTGTAACTTGTAAGTTGATATGATGGATAAGAACATTATACTTCAAGAGAGTAGTGCACATGGAAATTGGTTGGTTTGATAGCTTAGACAAAGAATAATTCAAGTGGTGCTATAATAATTAGTGATTAGGTTCTATGTAACTAGGAATTGAGGCGAATGTAATTTTGAATAAGTATTATTCTTCAATTATGTCGATGAGGTAGTTTAGTGTAATGTAAGTAAAGGTTTGGGTTCTAATGTTTATATACATTAGCCTACTAGCTCAATGAGTAGAGCATTGTACAAAAGCACAAAAAATGTGGGTTCGAATCCCACGTAGGTTCATTTGTAGAACTAAGAAAGATTTAGAACGTAGGAAAAAAAAATTTGAACATAAGAAAAAATTTAGAACATAAGATGAAAAAAAAAATTTAGAACATAGACAGAATAATTTAGAACATAAGTAGACTAATTTTAGAACATAAGCCGAAAAATTTTAAACATAAGATGAAAAAAAATTTAGAACATAGTTAATAATTTAGAACATAAGTAGAAAAATTTTAGAACATAAGCAAAAAAATTTAGAACATAGGGAATAATTTAGAACATAAGTAAATAAAATTTAGATCATAAGCAGAAAAATTTAGAACAATAGAAAAAAATTTAGAACATAAACATAAAAGAATTTAAAACATAGGAAAAAAACTTAGAACATAGAGTGTTCTTACATAAAAAGTGTTCTCACGTAAAGAAGTATTCTTTCCTAAGTTATAAATCTATGTTCAAAGCCTATGTTCTAATTTTGCTCCATATATTCTAAAATAATTTTATATGTTCTAAATTATTACATTATGTTCTAAATCAGGCTATAATGAGAAATAATTAGGTTTATTTTTGAAGTTTTTTTTAGTTATTTATAAAGATAGCCTATGTAGGATTTGAACCTACATCCTCTATGCATTTGCATAATACTCTACCACTTGAGCTAATAGGATTTAGCCGTTTGTTATTGATCACCACCCCTCCCATACGGAAGAAAACAATCACATGTAGAAACTCAAATGCCCTCATTACTTCTACAACACATAACTCTCGAATACCCAACACATTATACATGCTCACAAATTAGTGAAATTACCCAACACAACTACTACTAAGAAGTATGTACGAGTAGTACGTGATTACATCGGTCAAAAGGAGGAAAATATAGTTGGCTGTTGATCCATTCCTATAAACTAAGATGCAAATTTATCTAATACAAAAGTGCTAACCTAATTTCTTACCATTATACTCTCATTTTTACATGAATGGACCTAAATGGCTAAATTTTCACAACTCACAGTAAATTCTTCAATATTATTTGCAATCTTATATGAACTCTAACAATGAACTATCCAAACCAAACATTCCATTATAATTTTCAAAGGTAAATTAATAAGAATGAAAAAATCAAAAATTCCTCAGAAAGTTACAGTACAAAATCGAAGAAAATTGCAGTACAAAATCAAATAACATTGCAAGGCAAAAATACTGGAAATTCGAAAAAAAAAAGGACAAATTGCAATTGAAAATTCGAACTACAAATTCGAAAAAAATTACTAAAAAATCGAAAAATAATCGGTCAAAATACGAGCCCTAAAATAGCTGAAATTAAACTGTTGATGCAATTTCGAACAATCAAACATAATTGATGCGATGTCGTAACAAATTCCTTAAAATTTCGGAAAATAAAAATATCAAAAACACTGAAAATAAATTGCTTAAACAAGCATACCTTAATTTACTGAATCGCGAGAGAATTGACTGGAATCGCTGAAAAGTCTTTCAAATTGCTCTAATAATGGAGAATTTTGGGAGTTTGAGGAGAGATAAAATGATGAGAGAGAAAATAACGACAACTTTTTGTGAGAGGAGAGAGAAAATTAGGGTTTATATGGAGTATTTTCTTATTTCTTGATTTGATTCAATCTAATCCTCGGATTAGATTGGTTCTTATATATACTAGTGTTCTTATATAAGGAGGGATTCTTACCGAATCCCTCCTATATATATATATATGAATGTTCAATATCTTTGCTATTAAACTGTTTTTGGTTGTATGATTTTACAGTCATTTGATATAATAATTGTAGATTATCTGTTTTTTTTTTTTTGAATAGTAAAAAAATTCATTAATAAAAGTCATACGACATCTACAAAAGAGCTTCGGCTTTAACAAATACATAAGATATTGAATCAAATAACAATTTCCTTCATAAAAACTACGATCGTCGAGTAGATCTTGCAATGTGGAACATCTCCCGCTTATATCGCTAGAAAATACAGCCTTGTTGGAGAGACAATCTAACGATCCTTTGTAGCTGTGAGGATGTTTTCCTTCTGATTCATCTATCTGTATTTGAAAGCTTGACAACCCTTGCGATCTCGCATAATTTTTCACCAACGAAATAATTTCACAACAATCCATTACATCTAATATCATGGATTCAAACCTAAAAAGATTCTTCCCCGAAAAGAGGAGATAAACCTTGTCTTTCGAAGGAGGTCGAGAAGCCCTTGTCTTTCGAAGGAGATCGGAAACACTTTCTTTCAAGGGAGAAAAGTTCCTCCCAAAAGGAGGAAACATTATTATAACCTAAAAAAAACTTTTAAAGTAACAAGGATGGGGGCTTTCCACCGGTTAAAAGATGATGGCTCTCCACCGGTTAAAACCGACGGAAGCCCCTTCAAAAAATAACAATGGAGACTAGAGTTGAGAAGAGAGGAAGGAGGAGAGAGGAGAGAATTTTATTTATTTTTTTTTATTTTTTATACTTAGTGCGTATTATTGTAGATTATCTTAAAATTAGCTAGTAATATATATACTAATTAATTAATTTTTTAATGTATCACGGAGTATTATTTTTAATTTTTTAGTATTTGGAAAAAAGATAATAATAAACAAAAATGAGATAAAAAAAAATTAACAAATAGGCTGATTTAAGTAATTTTCCCCTTTTATCCAACAAAATTGTCTTAGTTATTTTATATAACAGAATTTGTATGTTTTCTAGACCTTCCTTTGAGCTTTGACCATGAGAGTTCTTATTTGTTAGGCTGTTACCTGACTTCTAATTGTAAGAGTTGAAAAAACAGAATGAAGAAAATTTTAAGAACATAGAATTTAAGAACATAGAATTTGACAAAAAATAATCAAACAAACCAAGGAAAAGAAAATTGGGGTCGGAAGATGAAAATTATCATAATGAAATTAGTATAAATTAGGTGATCATATCACTACTATAAGTTCAAGGCAGTTAATTACTACTACTAGTCTAATACTGAGCGAGCTAGCTTATTACTTAACAAGCAAAAATCTTCTTAAATTTTGCAGCACCAAAAATCAACATAGTTGTAACAATGGCTGCTGATCTTCCATACATGGAAAACCATGTTATCGATTTTTCTCTCCTCTCATCTCCGTCTCCTGATGTGGTGGCCAACGAATTGAAGAAACTTCATGCTGCTCTCAGCTCATGGGGTTGCTTCCAGGTGAGCTGATAATGAATTTTCCTTCTTTAGTTAGTTTAGGGCATATTTACGTTGTATTTGCCTTTATTTGTAGGGTTTTTCTTAGCGCAATCTATATTTAAACATGGATGAGCCACTCTGATAATAACGTCTGTAAAATAAATTCTAATAAGAGGGTTTTGTAAGGCTATTTTACGTAAATTTTGTTACAGAACATTATTATAATAGTAACTATTTATTATAAAATAGAAAAAGTCATTCTGATCTCACAAATTTAATTATTTGATGTATTGTATGTACTAATGATGATGATCTTATCTATATATGTTTTTCTTAGCTTGTAAACCATGGCATGTCTGTGGAATACTTGGACAAAGTTCGAAATGTTGGGTTCGAATTCAATCGAGTGCCTCAAGAGGAGAAAGAAAAATATGCAAGGACAGCAACAGAACCTCAAGGTTATGGCAATGACTCAATCACTTCAAACAATGTACCTCTCGTATGGCAGTCTCGCTTACGGCTCACAACCTACCCTTTTGAGGAACGCCAACTTGAACGTTGGCCTCAAACTCCTCAGTCTTTTAGGTATACTTTTATATATATATTATGTTTTGGAACAATAATATGTATACTTCATTAAATTTAGGAAATTCTGATTTTTAACACCACAAACAAACACGAAAATGGTTCTTAACACTACAACAAAAAAAAAAAAAAAAAAAGCTTTATTTTAAGACCATCAAAAACCTTAAAATTTTGTTTTTACCACCACGTAACGGATTTTAAGATGGAATCCGTTAAATGGGGCCACAATGCCACTTGTCTCCATATAGTTGGCTAAAAAAAAAGAATATTAAAAATTATAATTAAAAAAAAAAAACAAAAACAAAAGCCCAACCACCCCACCACCACCACAGGCACCCTTTTCCCCACCCAACCAACGCAGCCCCCGCCCCCTGTCCCACATCCGGCGAACCCCCTGCCCAGGCCGACCACCGAATACCTCCCCCGACCCTTTCCCGCAACCCTAGCCTGACCGACACCCCTATAACCCACCTAAACGGCCGGCCTTCCTCAAAAGCGGCCACGAAATCAGCCACTAATGGCCGAAATCGGCCAGTTTAGGGTCAAAATCGACCACTCAGCCCCAAAACCGGCCGTTTTCGACCGTTAGTGGCCGATTTCATAGCCATTTTGGGGATACATTGGGTGTCGGTCTGGCAGGGGGAGGTGGTTCCGGGCGTGCCGGAGTTAAGATTGGGGGCGGGGGATGTGCAGGTAGCGTGGGTAAGAGGGTGGCGGTGGATGTGAGTGTCGGTGGTGGTGGTAGGGTGGCTGTATTAGGTTTAGGGTTTTTTTTTAAAAAAAAAATCTTTTTTTAGCCAACACAATTGTGACACGTGTACTTTATGGGGCCCACCTAACGGATTTCATCCAAAGATCTGTTAAGTGGTGGTAATATCCAATTATGCGAATTTTTTGTGGTTTTAAAATAAATTTTTTTTTTATAGTATTAAAAACCATTTTCGTGTTTTTTTTGTGATGTTAAAAATCAAAATTTCCTTAAATTTAATTTATTTTCACATGCATATGTCAAAATGCAAATACTAAGGCTCCGTTTGTTTTGACGAAAAACAAATCTAATGGAAAATGAATTTCCATGAAATCCATTTTATGGAGGGAAACTCAAATTTGGTTTAGTTTTCCTTTGTTTATTTGTAAGGAAATTCATTTTCCAAGAATCCCATTTTCCTTTGTTTGTTTGGAAATTCATTTTCCACGAATCCCATTTTTCTTTGTTTGTTTGGAAATTCATTTTCCTTTTAAAACAATTTTCCTTTTGTTACTTAATATTGTTTGTGAACCTAATTGTTTTTAAATTAAGCCGTAAATTAAGCCAAGCCCAACCCTCGACTGTAAGTCAAGAAGAGAACATGAAAAACACCCTTGTAAATGATTTAAAAGCTAAAATTCTATAGTTCTTCATATTTGATCTACAAATGTTAACCACTTCAAACTAATAATAAAAAACTTCTGCTAATACCCAAGAATACAAATACCCAAGCCAAACAAACAGCGAAAAAATAAGAAAAGAAAAATGGTTGTAGAAAGGACAAGGGCAGACCAAGCAGCATATAGCAGCCAACAGCAGGAGAAGTAGCTTCCAGCAGCCTGAAGCAGCAGCATAAACACCAGGTATCAACCAGGCAGCAGCATAGCACTTATAGCAGAACAGCAACAGGAAGTATGAAACATAAGGCAGAGAAAAATGCACCAAAACCAAGAAGCAGATTGCAACCAGAGCAGTAACCTTGAAGACAGCAAGAGCAAACTACCAGAAATTGGAGTAAAAGTAGCTAGCAGACTTTAATGTTTATGGTCTTTGACAAACTTTTCGATCCAAAGTTTGCATAGTGGCAAGCTTTTTGTCAAAAATGCTTTTGCAAGCATTTCGCGCTCCACCAAGTGATCAAAAGCCGCAACACGCACCCCTTCTTCAATGTCCTCCATCTTCATAATTTTGTCATAAAGCTTCTCCACATCAAGTTGATTGTTTGAAAAAATTTTGAGAGCACTAACCACTTCTTGAAGTTGTGCTGAAATGTGTTTCATTTCCGATCCTTCGTCAATTCGAGACCTCTTTTGATGTGGCCTTGAGCCCAACGAGGTACCACTCTCTTGGAAGGCACACTATCATTAGTCATACTTGGTTGTCCACTTTCCATTGAAGCATCAACATCGATGTTGGCAAATGTCTTGGAGAAGTTCCCCCGTGCTAAATCTTTACCCACTACTATAGCCATCTCTTCATACATATCAATTTTTCGATTCAAAAACTTTTCATATTTTGGATATTCCTGCAAAGATCAGATTATAGGGCCAAAAAGTTAGTTTGTACAGAGGTTGTATCATATTAACATCCTACATTGGCTACTTGATAGAGCTTTAAGTTGGAAGCTGAAACATAGTTACCTCACAAGCCTGTTTCAAGATTCAGCCACTAATCTCATTGTCACTTTTGGACCATTTCCTTTTTCCTAGCAACAGCTAATACATATTCTTAGACAATTAACAAATAATAGTAATCTATTCATATAATGCAGGAAGTATGCAAATGAACAATATTGGTCAGTGCCTTATCATATTAACATAGATCCAGAAGCATAATTACAGCTAAGCAAAACAAGAAAAGAGAGAGAAAATGGGGAGGGACAGTTATTTAAGGGTGAATAATAACATGTTTCTAGGTGTATAAAACAGCACTACCTTAACATAAGTAGCATATGCTGTGGGAGATGCTGTCACCATCTTCAAATTATCGTTCCATCCAAACCCGGAGTTGTTTCAGACCGTTGATATAGCCACCCATGCATTCCTCACAGTTTTCATACGATTCTCCACATGTTCTGAGGTGCAATTGGTTTGAAACTTCTCAGAGATAATCTTTGCAGCAGTCACAAAAGAACTTGTTCGAAATGTATTATTAGGCCGGTTTCCCTTTTTAACTTCTTCGGCTAAAAAGTCGAGTAATTCCTTTGACATGTCCTTTGACCAGCGAAAGTTGGCCTTTTTCTCTTCTTTTATAACCTGGAACAATCACTTTAGCATTAGAATCTGGAAAAAAAAAACAACATAATAATATATAAGAAATATAAAATTGATGCAGAACACTAAATAAATAAGTTGAAACAGGTAATAACTCTAGTAAGGTATCACATATGAAAAAGTTGATAGAAAATACATAATCACTGGAAATATTGTCTTTAAAAAAATAAAATGTTATAGAATTAAAATACATAATTTATGAACTAATTATCTTAAAAATGCATATGCTAAGCCCATCAAATACAAGTCTTCTTGTATAAGTCCACATCGCCATTGCAATGGCCTTTCTCTTTCTTTCGATTTGTTGATTTTCTTCTCGCTCTTTCCTTCGAGTACGTACTTCCCCCATGTGTTGTAAATCTTGTGATGCCATCTCTACTTCAACTTCTCTTGTAATTGGGTCATTTGGGTCAACACCTCTAAGGTAGTTATGTAACACGCAACATGCTAGAACTACATCTACTTGGGTTTCATACGGCCAAAATGGCTCAGCATCTAAGACACTAAATCGCTTCTTTAATACTCCAAATGCTCTCTCCATAACCATTCTTAGTGAGGAGTGTCGAAGATTAAATAATTCACGTTCATTCTCAGGTGGATTGGTTGTATACTCTTTCAAGTGGTAGCGAATACACATATATGGAGACATGAATCCTTTACGGTCACCATACCCCGCATCAGCAAGGTAATACTTTCCTACAATTTAAAGAGATTTGTCAAAGTTACTAACTTATAACCAATGCATAAAAGAAACCAGAAAAAATAATAATATTAATACCTTCAAGAACCTTAAATCCCCTTTTGAGTGCATCTTGCAAGACCTTTGAGTCATGAGCGGAACCCTCCCAACCGGCCAGCACATACGTAAATTTCATATCAAATCAACAGCAGCTAGCACATTTTGGGTTGTCCCACCCTTTCTACCACGAAAGCGACCTTGCATTTCAATGGGGATAGATGCACGTATATGTGTCCCATCTATAGCTCCTATGTAATCCTTAAACCAAGGAAAAAACCTAGGGTTGTTTTGAATTTCAAAAGGAAGTGGAGAGGCTTGTGGTTTAACAAATTCTAGGTACAATTTAAGGATGGCTTTAAGAACAACATGGAAGTAATGATGTATGGTCCAAATTGATCGGAAAAATCTTCCCCCCGCTGCCCTAAATCTTACATCAACACCTATTCGAGTATTTTCTTTCAAAAGTCCTCTTTCAACTAGAATTTTACACAAATTGAAAAATGCTTGAGGCCTTATACGGATCTGACCCAAACAATGAGTATCACCACAATACAAAACACTATTAACAATCTCCGACCTCAGACTATCTCTATTAATGAAGGTTGCCTAATTATTCTTAGCCTTCTTGTTTTAGACCTACGCTCGTTAAGAAAAGCAAGAGTACAAGCAATAACAGCAGCCACAGCGCCAATAACAATGCCTTTAATATCATTAGTCATCTACATCAATTCCATAAAAAAAAAAGGTTAAGCATACTTATATGTATATTAATTCGAAAGTGGTTTTTGGGCAAAGTTATACCTTAGATGATTTATGGGTAGACAATCCACGCTTCGGTTCCATAACTAATACTAATCTGAAAAAAGAAAATTATGGTGATTGATGGTATTATCAAAGTGATCAATCTAACTAGTACATGAATGTAAACCATTATCTTTTCGATTCGTTTATTGCAAAAAATCACTAGATTACCATATCCAAATTAAACCTCACACCCAACACTGCGCCCCTTCCTGCTTCTAAATAAAGTAAAAAATCCAACTAAATTTTCACCACCAACTTCATACAGCAGCACATCATTGCACATACAAACAGCGAGCTAAAATCAATTTTGCTCAAACCACACTAGAAGAAAGCAGACGACAGAAGTCCAAACTAGAGCTGAATTTGCGCCGCTAATGGAAATTTACAGCCAACATCATAATAAGCATATTATCGATTATCAAATAGTCACATACATATATACACAGAAGCTTCATCACATTACACTGGAAGCAGCGAAAGTACAGAAGTCCAGCAATTGATTTTACGTGCAAACCCTAATTCCCAAATCAATAGCAAAAAATCAACCAAATTCCAGAATTCTTCATTATTACTTAACTTGTTCTTTAATACAGAAGAATATTAACAAACCCTAATTAATCACAAACCTAACCTAGAATTTCAAGAGCAGTTGAATCAAATAAAGAAGCTAAGCAAACAATTTAAGAGAAGAAACCGAATAAATTGGAAATTACCAACAGATCTTCACGCCGCCGAGAGAGCACGAGCTTGAAGATGAAAGAGAGCGCACGAGCTTAACGATGAGAGAGAGAGCGCACGAGCTTAACGATGAGATAGAGAGCACGAAGATGAGAGAGAGCTTGAAGATGAGCGATGCCAGAAAACATGGAATACCAGGTTTGTTTAGGGAAAATGATTGGGCCTATATGGAAAAGTGTTTTTCGGCCCTATTTTCCATTTTATGGGCCGGTTTAAAACAAACAACAGAAAACAAGAAATCTGTTTTCCGGAAAAGGCTTTTCCCTTGATACAAACACGGCCTAAGAGACTAAAAAAACTCTTGGTAGGCTGGTAATAAAAAATAGAGGTGAAATTTAGCAAAATTTGACCCATGCATGAAGATCATTTTCTAAATATAAAACATTCTTTGATTAAAAAAAAAAAAAAAAACCAATTAATACAAACACCGTGTTTGACGTACCATGTTTATTTTGTATGGATTACTCGTTCTAAAACGAGTTTAAAACTCTACACCATACCTCGTACAACTGTTAAACCAAAAATCCCTCCCCTCTAGAATAATGGACGTATTCTAATCTAATTCTACTAAGGTTTGGTATGAATTTTTTTGGTCTGGTTTGCTGTAGTTGGACCACCTTTCAAGTAATACATCATTTCAGGGAGTAAACTTGTTAAATTATTTTGTTCTTTTAATTAGTCCATGTTATCTATACTCAATTTAAATAGATATTAGTCCATTATATCTACTAATAAATTTTATGAACAAATAAAATTGATTGAATTGCAGGGAAGTTTTGGAAGAGTACAGTATGAACGTGAAAACGTTGCATGACAAATTGATCCAATATATGGCACGATGTTTGAACTTGGAAGAGAATAGTTTTGTGGAAGAATATGGAGGAACATTACAAGTGATTTCGAGATTTAATTTCTACATACCATGTCTTTATATTGACCAAATTCGAACCTCGAGCAAACATGCAGACTCGGCTGCCATGACTTTTCTATTGCAAGATAAAGAACTTGAAGGCCTTGAATTTGAGAAAGATAACGAGTGGTTTAAAGCTCCCGTTCTTCCTCATGCTATCTTTGTCAATGTTGGCGACCAAATGGAGGTACGAGTGTTTTTTCGGTTTTTTTTTTTTTTTTTTTTTTTGTTACGTTGTATTATTGTTTTGTTATCCATAGAGAGCCACAAAGTGCAGTATGAAAATTATATAGGGTTTGATCTAGTTGATTAGTTGACGGTCAAACTCTAGCTGTGCCTAATTTTTGAAATTCATGATTTTAATTTGCTTGTGTAGATAATGAGCAACGGCATCTTCAAAAGTGCGATACATAGAGTGGTGCCAAACCCGGAAAAGGAAAGGATCTCTCTACCATTGTTTTGCGGCCCTGCTCAACATAAGGAAATCGGACCTCTGAAAGCTTTGATAACGAAAGATCAACCAGCTATTTACAAAAGCGTGAAAAATTACAATGAAATCTTTTTTCGCTACCATCCCACGGGCATTAGACCCATCACAACTGTTAAGATGACCTAAGCTAATTGAAAGAATATAAAACCAACCATTGATTGGTTTTATTTTCCATCACTATTATATAATATACTTTGATACAATGTTCTAAATAAATGTTATACAAATATACATGAATTTGTAGGTTTCATGTAATATGTAGCTACCTTTTGTAGTTTTGCACGTATAACCCTTGCATTTGTTATGTAGTTGTGTATGTACCAAATAAATTATATATGTCGTGGTTTAATTATGGATGTTGAATAATACTCTGTAACAATAATACTTTATTGTAATTTGTTATAGTAATAAGTTTACATGTTGTATTGAAAAGGAAAATACAAATTTTAATGAGGGTGGATTGGACTAATCAGAAAAATCTCAAATACTTGTGCATGTATAAACTAATAGACCATCATGCATAATCGATTGGCTTGACATTGAATTGCAATTGTGATATAATTAGTACTACATTGTAACGCCTATAGTTACCAAGCATGACCTAAATTAGATTTTAATCACATGCAATGGTTTATATATCGTATGTGTACATCTAAGGTAGAATCTCTTTAATTAGATCGATGTGTAAATGTATATAGATTTATTGATTGATCTTGGATGGGTAGTTAGAGTTATTAATAAACATATGCCCTACTGCCTTGAGGTTCTGGTGAGAATCACCTTTAGGTGAAAACTTTTTATGGTGCAGATCTTAAGATTTGACAACGGTTCGATATATCTGACGGTCACGATATAAAACATTTCATTGATTGTAGTTTTTGTAATATTGAAGAACTTTTAACCAAAATTTATGAAAATACCCTTAATGAAACTTTATATCAAAGAGAACACGATCTAAGTTGGGTCTAATTAATTAAAATTCTCTAATACAACGTGTATATTTAAATCGTTACGTTTTCTGTGTGAGAGTACCTCTGAAGCCCTGACTGGTCGAGTAACCACTGACCGACCAAGTAACCCCTAACCGATCAAGTAATTCCTGATTAAATAACCCATGACCGACCAAGTAATCCCTGAATAAGTAATTTCTGCCACACGGTGTGACCAACCATAAATAAAAATTAGGGAAATTATCAATAGTACACCCAAGGTTTGGGCCTTTATCAATAGTACACCTGCTAAACTATTGTTTATCAGCGGTACATTTAAGGTTTTATACCATTATCAGCCGTACACCTACCGTTAGACAAACGTTAAAAAAAACGTTAGTTTTGGCTTTTTTAACTTAAAACTTGACACGTGGCGGCCTGTGATTGGTCCAAAAATAATAAAAATAAAATAAAATAAAATAAAATTTTAAAAAAAGTTAGATTAATAAAATAAGATAATTTTTTATAATTTTTTTAAACAACATTATTTTATTTTTTTTCCTTTTTTTTCCCTACCTCCTTCCTTTATCTTTCCTCCATCCTTCCTCCTCCTCCATAACTTCCAGCAGCCAACCAGACATCCCACTCCCCTCTGACCACCCTTCCCCTTCTCTTTCCTCCTTCCTTTCTCTTTCCTCTTCCCTTCCACCACCATAAATTCCAGCTACAAGTAACCAAATCCGGCGCGAAGTGTGGATTGAACGATGATGGTGGGTGGTGAATTGTGGTGGTGCGAAGTAGAGATTGGGTGCAGGGGATTTGGTGTTGCTATTGGGTATGTTATTTGTGGTCGAAAGTGGTCGGACGGTGGACAACTTCTACAATTGTCGGCCACTGATGGTGGGTGTTGAAATGGAGCAGCGGTGATAAGGGCGGCTGCTTTGGTGGCTGCTGGGTTCGTGAATTGGTGGAGGGTGGTGGTGTTGTTGGTTTTGTGGGGTAGTCGGGTGGTTTCGAGGATGGTGGCTACGAGAAAGGGGAGGGGCAGCAAGGTGGTTGTTGGGGAAGGGGGCGGCAGCCGGCGAGGAGGGTTTGGCTAGCCAGCACCGGGGACAAGGGGGTTGGGATGTCTGGGTGGGCTGCCGGAAAAAAAAAAAAAAATTATATGTTGTTTAAAAAAAATTATTTAAAATTAAAAAAATTATCTTATTTTATTAATTTAACTTTTTTTAAAATTTTATTCTATTTTATTTTTTTGGACCAATCACAGGCCGCCACGTGTCAGTTTTTAAGTTAAAAAAGCCAAAACTAACGTTTTTTTTAACGTTTGTCTAACGGTAGGTGTACGGATGATAATGATATAAAACCTTGAATATACCGCTGATAAACAATAGTTTATACTATTGATAAAGGCCCAAACCTTGGGTGTACTAATGATAATTTCCCTAAAAATTATTATAAATAAATAAATAAAATTAAAAAATTAAAAATGATTCCAAAAAAACCTCAGTGCTGCACTGCACTGCTGCTTATACTCCAACCGCGGTCGTGCTCTCCTCCATTGCCAGTTGCCACCCTTTTCTCTGCTCCTTTCGAATTCATCAAATTTCTCCCTTCTAAATGTTCTGATCCTTCGCGATTACTGGTTAGTTTTTCATTTTTGTTCTTTGATTCTACTTTTTTTTTTTTTTTTTCAGTGATTATGATTCTGTTTTCTGCTTCTTGTAAGCATGTGTGCTTCCCCCCCCCCCCCCCCAATGTTTCATGTTTTCATGTGAATGTTAGAGCCCTTATTCTTGTAATTCATTGCAATGGATTCATGATCTTGTATCTTGTATTTATTTATATATTTTTATTTTTATTTTTGGGTGGAAGACTCGATTTTTAATTGCCCAAAGTGGTTGAATTGCATCCCCTTGTTTTTTAAATTTTAAATTAAACTATTAGTTTCAAGATTATAATTTTTGATTTGTGAGATGATTGAAAATTGAAATAATTCCCATTTTGAAAAGAAGGGAAGGAATTCAACATTTGAGAGGAATTTTTGTTTAGCTAACTAGTTAAAATTTGATTTAAGTAACATTGTTAGTGGTTTTAGTATTTAAACTCTACACCACATGAATTGAAATGGTGGTGATTTCATCCAATATTACTCAACTACAAGCTGAATGCAGTCATAGTATTCTTGTTGTTTATTCACAAACATTTAGGGGTGTAATAATTGGGTGAGAATTATCAATAGTGTGGAATAAGTAATTATTTTTTGCGTCTCTGCATTGATATAGACGGAATTTGATAACAAGTCTTATATATTGCCTCGGAAGACTTTACCAACTAAATTAGCCATCACAACTAGGAATAAGGATTGTTGATTGGATAAATATGTGTTTTTATTAAGCAAAGGGGATGTCCATTGGATTGGAGATGCTCAATGGAGGAAATATTATGGTTGGAGGGATTACAAACACCTTGTGACAAATGTATCTTTGGACAGATAGTGTATATTTTCATTCTTTGTTGAGGATGTAGTTTCTTATTTGGGTCTTTGGTCTAGACTTGTTTGGAGGAGAATTGTGTGCATTTGGTATTTTGGTCCTCTTTTCAACTATCCAATGACAAGTTACATTCTTCGTATATGATGGATATTCTTGTGCTATTTAACAGTTTTTGAGGTTTCACTTCTTTTTTTGTATATGATTCTTGGCCTTATTTCAACTTTTTTATTGATATTAGATATTTTTAAAATCCTCTTACATATTTATGTATAATTTCATTTCTTTCTTATGTTACAATAATGATAGAGTTCATTGAGAAGCAATGTCGGTTGGTTCATTATTGAATCTATCACACAACTACAGCACTGCATTGAATGAGACCAACTTGAACAGGCATTGGACTTGCAATTTTGTGCTTGAATGTAAGGCTATAGGTTTTTCTCAAACCAAAGATGCTCTAAGAGTCACAAATTTGACCTTGTCAAATCGATATACTGATGTTTTCCTTGTGAAAAGCTATAATGACAAATCTACAAAAACACTGTCTGATTTAGAGGACAATGGGGTTGTAGAGGATTCTGGAAACGGTAATGGGAATTTTCCACCAGAAAATGGAGGTGATGGCAGCAGTGGTGGTGGTGGTGGTGGTGGCAAAGGCGAAGGAGACGATGAGGATGAAAAGGAATTTGGTCCACTATTGAAATTTGAGGATGTGATGCGAGAAACTGAGAAACATGGGGTGACTCTTCCCTCGGATATACTGGAAGCTGCTAAAACTACAGGGATAAGAGAACTTATACTGATGCGGTACTTAGAGTTGCAGGTATAGTTTTTTCATTTTCAAAAATTTGGAATTGATTTCCTTTGGCAAAGTGAAGCTCTGAAAGTATGAAAATTATTACTTTTATTGATTATTATTTTGATTCTAATACGAGGAGAGAAATAGATGAAATTTGCTTGAAAATGAATTGTATTTGAATATCTAAACTTATGTTAAAATGTCACTTTTTATAAATTTGGGTTTTTCTCAATTACACGAAAGATGAATTTATGCAATGAAGGAAAATGTGTTGCACAGATGCTAATAATATTACTTGAAACCGGATATATTGATGTAAATGTGAAATGTCTATTTTTGACACACGTTTGGGTTTCATGCTTTTGTCAAATTGGATATAATTTTCAAATTGGTTCCAGTTATGGATATTTATTCATATTTTATTTTGTATTGATACTCAGGGATTATTTTGGCCACTTGGCTTTTTGATGAGACATTGTTCAATGCTCCGCAATAGAATGATAGCAGATCCTGCATTCTTATTCAAAGTTGGGACTGAGGTACGTTGATAATATATTCTTGTGAGCCAAGAAGGACCGAGACTTTTATGAATTGGGTAGTGGTCTATTCACCTGAATTTCACTTATCTTATATTATGAACTTATTTTATCTGAACTTATTAGCCTTTAAATTATCTTACTGAATTTATCAACCCAAAACTTATTAACCCTTGTATTATATTATATGCACCTTTTTTTTTTTTTTTTTTGAAGAATTATTAGCTGCAGTTATTAGCCCATATCTTATCTTATATGAACTTATCAGACCTGAAATAAGTGAGAATAAGGTAAACTAAACAGAGCCCTAGCATGCCCATTTGGAATAAATACAGGATAAATGTCTTGGATAGTGGCTAATTTGTGCCAATCGTTTTAATCTTTTGGGATGGGGACACTAATTGCTTTTTAAATTGCAGTGGACACTGAACAGACTTGTAATCAATGTCACTAACTCACTATCATGTTCGTAGCTGTATAAATTTCTGTGAAGCCTAGTTTTTTATCTTTATTTGATTCTGTACATTGTGTTTAATTTCATAAGTATAATGTTAGAGATCTATGTGCTTCAAAGTTCAAAAGAATTGTTTGCATGGCCATGTGTATAATCTTGAAGCTATATTTTTCTTTGCTGTGTAAAATGGTGATTTGTGCATTTATTTATGAACTCCCATCTGGAATGCTCTGAGTATTTTATTGGTTGTGTTGAATGATGCAGATAGTTATAGATTCGTGTTGTGCAACATTTGCTGAAGTTCAAAAAAGGGGGAAGGATTTTTGGAATGAGTTTGAGTTGTACGCTGCAGATCTTCTAGTTGGTGTGGTTGTCGACATAGCCTTGGTTGGTATGTTAGCACCATATGTTCGTATTGGGCAACAGACAGTATCAAGAGGTTTACTGGGACGTTTTCAGCTTGCTTGTCGTAACCTACCTAGCAGGTAATTGGAACTAAAAATGTTGTGATCAATCTTCTCTGACATCTAGATATAACATTGCTATTTTGATGCTATGGTGCTTGGACCAATATCCATTTTCAGTGAGAAAGTATGTGTGTAGGCTATAACACTTTGTTTGGATTGTAAAGAAGTGAGGAGGGAGAGGGCATTTCACCACTCACTTCCCTTAGCAGAACATTTCAATTTTAAAATGAAGACGTTAAAGTAATTTTGAAAATTCTCCCCCTTGCCTTTCTCATTAGCACTCGTTGGCGATATCTTTCCTGTAGTTGCCTTATCCCTCCCCTAATTTACTTACCAGCATTCAGAATATTAGTTGCTCTTCCTTGGGCTGTACGAAGTGATTTATTGGGATCCGGCTGTGTATTATTTCTTTGGTTTGCATGTAGCACTGTTTTTAGAAGCTAAACATTTACATGTTGGAATTGCAGCGTCTTTGAAGCTGAAAGACCAGGATGCAGATTTTCAGTAAAGCAAAGAACTGCATCATACTTCTACAAGGTATGACTTGGTTTGTATTAGTTTTTTTAAGAAAAAGCTAGTGTATAACACATAACTTAGTAGCTTGCGTGTCCTTACGTAACAGAGCAACTTTACCTTAGGGATGCTAGTTGGTCCCTGTATCCATTACAATTCTACAATTACACTGCCTGTTCTCATTCCATATATGATATATCTATTCCAAACCTTTTATGGAAATTTATCTAAATTATTATTTTTATCTTAATGCATGTAAATTATGTGCCCCCTTGTGACATGTTTTATTAGGCATAAATTTTTTTAAGATAAACATATCAACTTTGCTTCTAAGACGAGGGAAATAACAGATGGAAACTAAACATATCAACTTTTAGCGTTTTATTCAATGCTCCCATTCCTAGGGTACAAATGATCCTTGCCTTCCCCGTCATCCAAGCTCCCTCAGGTTGCATGATGGTCTTGTAAGAAAATCCTGAGCCAAAAGACTCTTCAAACCTCCCAACAAGAGTTACATACATTTTTCCATGCATTAAAAAAGAAAATGGTCTAGACAAGTAGATAGTGTAGGATTTGATCAATAAGTATAATGTTATGGTGAATGATGATTGGTTGAAGCTTCATCAAGAAAGTAGTCAACTGTAAAATCACATTTGATTGAAAATACTTTATTGATAAATTAATGTAAATTTACAATTTTGACATGCAGGGTGTATTATATGGGGCTGTTGGATTTGGATGTGGAATTGTTGGACAGGGCATTGCGAATATGATCATGACTGCTAAACGGTAATTTTCTAAGAACCTGGCATTACATTTTGCTTGTCATCTCACATCATGTTATGAAGTAATTGTATCATCTAGCCCTGAATTCATTGTAGTTACTCTAATTGTAATTAAAGTAAGTAAAAATGGTCAATTAACACATGGCTGCATAGCAACAAGTTTCTATATCTGTTGATAACAGCTTTGGTAAATATTTTTTTCCCCTATTGTTAGATGAATATAGAATGAGTTTATGTGGTTCAGTAAACGATGGATGAACTACAGTCTTTACTTTCTTTTGTTTTCAAAAAACCTTACCAAATATTTTTTTCTAAAAGCTCTGCACATTATTTCTAATTTCTGGGAGAGTTAGCTCTTGGGGAACCATAGAATATGTTGCAATTGACAATGCTTTTGTAAACTAAGTAGCTAATAAGTTTGACCATTGACTGGATGTATATGAAGTCAGATTTAAAGCATTTGTGGAAGACTTAAAGTACTTAGGAAGCAATGGTGAAAAACATCTAGTGCTTCTAAAGTTTGAATCAAATTTGAGTTGGAGATACTGCTTAATGTTCAGATAAGCCAATATGCAGCTAAGTACATTAGAACCTTTTTTGTAAGTTAGCTGTACTTGCTAGAAACTTCCCTGGCTGTCTGATGGCATACTCATCTCCACCACACCCCCCACCCCCCCCCCCCCACCCCCCCGAACATGCTTCTGGGGTTTCTGATTGTCAATTGCTTGTAAACGTACATGTATTTTCCATGTTACTTTAATTTTGACATTAGATTTGTGTATTGAAATTGCTTAATATCAATTTTTTTTTCTTTGACAGGAAGATTAAGAAGTCTGATGATGATGTACCTGTTCCCCCACTTGTAAAAAGTGCTGCACTCTGGGGTACGTTTGAATATGTTTTGCACTTTACTGCTGTGAAGTGCGTGGAACTGTCTTCTTATGATAGACCTTTATGTCTCCCTTTTATACTTGTTATTTCTTCTCAATATTTTGACATTAAATTAGTATCTTATGCTTTTCTGCTTTCTGTTTTGTTTGGCTTTGATCACACGACTGTTTTGGTATCCCTATTTGTTCAAAAGTCAGTATCCAGTATGATGGTGCTTGCTTACAATATTTTGCGTAAGCTTTGGCTTTGAGTTCAATTCACAGTTCCGTTTGAGGCCAAAGTAGATGGTGCAATCAGTAGCTTGCCAAGACTAGTTTCACATTTCCTCCCTTATTAAATGCAAGGCAATTCATTGATAATTGATGGGATTACTAGAAATAAAATTTCGAAACTTGAAAAAGACAAGAGACCTTGGCCAATGATCTTTACTAGCTACGAGATCATGATAGTCATCTAGTTTGAGAAACCGCTGCCAATAGAGAATTTTATCAAAGCTTCTAAGTGGGGGAAAAAAAAAAATTGGGACCTTAGAATATATATCAACAGAATTTGTGGTTTGTACCCAAAAAAAAAAAACAACATAATTTGTGGGAAAGATGTCTCCATATATATGAAAAGTCCAGTGCCATCAAGGACATGCCGTGAGATCAAGTAGTGTCTATGTATTAGAAAAGTCTAGCGCCATCAAGGACATGTAGTGGCAAGTTTCAGGATTCTAATCCAAATTTCCTGAGATCATTGGGTTCTTGTCCTTCTCAGCTTACACCGCTCCCCCATGATCAGTACTGAAGTTAATTGAGTGTGCTACTATTTTCCAACTAAAGGAAGAAAGGATTTGTTTCTATTGAAGGGAATGGTAAATTTCAGGGTTGTACCAATTGATAATTCTTTTCTCATCTAATGACCTTTCTGGTAAAACTTGGTTAACCACATCTTTTTTCCATCTTCATGCACCAAGACTTAAACTAGAAATTTTATCCTGTGTAGCTGAAATATCTTCAGAAGATGTTGAGTGTTGGCAATGTGGTTGATTTTTTATTTTTCTTAAGTAGGACATGCTTTAGCAACTAGTGCGTGTCCTGATCTGTCATGCTTGTTCCTTCTTTATGTCAAGAATATTTCACTTGCAATGTTTATGTTGTGCTTTATTAAAAGTCTTAACTGTTTGATATAATTAAAATTATGTGTGCTTCATGACAATATATTGTGTCCTTTCTACTGTAATGTTGCTTTTGCTTTTGGAAACAGGTGTTTTTCTGGCAATCTCCTCTAATACACGTTACCAGATTGTAAATGGATTGGAGCGTGTAGTTGAAACATCACCATTGGCGAAGAAAGTTCCTCCTGTTGCAATGGCTTTTACAGTTGGTGTGCGATTTGCCAACAATATCTACGGTGGTATGCAGTTTGTGGATTGGGCTAAATTGAGCGGTGTGCAATAGCTTGATTCTCAGTCTTGTAGCCAAAGCTTCACTCGCACCCGCATGTCCTTTCAGAGAACAACAATGCTGCAGTATTGAACCTCACAGAGACCATGGCTGACTTGGTTACATTTTCGGATTTTCCCTAACTGTTCTTGCATCGCTTATACAGCCTTTGGTAGTGCCACGAAGCAATTCAGTGATGTTCGTTCTACTGTGTGCTGTAACAAGAAGCAGCAGCCAGCAGGGCAGGTTTTCTAGTTCTTTATGTTATCTTTCTGTTCCATATTCAATTAAGTAAAAGGATGAACACCTGACAATTTGGAGTTAGATTACTATAGAAACTGAAGACATTTTTTTCAAAATTTCGACTTAGCAAAAGGTGTTGCCTGATATTATGTGGAAACAATGTAGATTACTTGATTCTGGTTATATGTAATTGATGGATCATTTGACAATTACAGGAGATCTAAATGCGCAGCAAGTGTTGATCAGAAACAGCAAATTTGCTTGTTTTTCTTTTTCTATTTTTTTCAACTCTCCTGTGTTCTGTCTTCTTACGTCTAATTTAAAATATGAAGTATAAATATATTTTTTTTATCTGAAATTTTTTATTTCTGATGAGGGATCAAATCTTGTAGCTAGGTAAGGTTAAAAATAAACGAAGATAATTGAGGACAAGCCCTAGCAAAACTAATTCTTGTAACTAAATTCCAAAAAGAAAGAATACAAATACGAGTACATGAGAATTAAATTTTATATTTACATCATTGTCTTTTATTGCTCTTTCTACATACAAATACAATTACATGCATGAATAACATTGCCAGCCATACACTTAAGTTTGCTATTACGGAATATAAACCTTTATCGGCAATGAAAACAGACAAACAGTTTAATCTTAAATTTTTCCTAAAGAATCTGGATGCTAGTAATCTAGCATTGTTCACAATAGTACAGGAATACTTCGTATTAAGCAGGGAAAAACACATACTATCCAGTTTGCAGTACACCAACCCGAAAGATTGAACATAGCATTGCAACTATTACTTAAGAATCTCTGATTTGAATGATACATAAATGGAGTATACAATTGGATAGTTCAACACTACAAAACTCTGTAATGTCTTCTACTAAAAATTTGTTCATCACTGTAGGTTCCTGAGTTTCTCTCTAATTAAGCTGGTAATTGTATCAATATGTTCACTGCACTTACGAGTAAAAAATCCTGGAGCAAGGAGCAGAACTACAATGGAATCACAAAGCTCTTTTGCCCCAGGAAGAAAATAGGCTTCAACAAAAAAAATCAGCTCATGGGCTTCATACTTCCTCGACCTGCAATGAACTCAGTAGTTAAAGACAACTGACCATATTATAGAAACTGCAGTAACTAAAACAAGTCCAAGTAGGCCATTTTTGTTGCTATTTTTGGTGCACAACCCATAAATGATGGAAAGTGTGGAGACAGGTTCAAAATTTTTCACAATCAATTGGAGAGATTCACTGGCAAGTTCACATGAGACTATGAGATGCGTCGCAAGCAATGAGCTCCTCTATAAGAAATAAAGGATGACTTAACTCCCTCTGCTTAGAACTAGTTGTCACATTGTCCTAAGACTCCCAACCCCTCAATATTATGATCATGATTTTACAAAAGGACCAATATAGTCATTGTGTTAAGTCTAATTTTTACGATGTTGAGGATGTTTATATAGCAAATGAGTGTACCTTTGTACTTGTAGGTACTTGTTTATTTAGCCAGTGGAACGCCAACATAAGGGCGAGTCCTTTCAATTTGGCAGCACCGAAGTGTTCAGCCTTCGACATCTAATTCATAAACACCCTTAAGCAAAGTGCTAAAAGAGTATCCCACAAATCCTTCCAGAGTTATAGAATTTGATAGAGCCACAACAGAACCTAGTAACAGTCCTGTCATTAGGATCATGCGTGACAGACTTCTGTCCCAATCCCAAAAGTGAAAGAGAGGATGGTGACGAAACAATAAAAGATGAGTAGTATGAAGGAAGCCTAAGGACATCTCCTAAATTTGGACTTACATACTGGTAACATTGCACATCTCTAGCAAGGATAGGAGCCTCAGAAAAGAGACTATTAATGGAGGAAATAGAAATTCATGGGAATTTCAACTTCCCACAAAACATGAGAAGTAAATTCCCTAGCCCCCCCTTGGTCAATTGATATTCATGGGAATTTATAATTCCCACATTGCCAACCAAACAAGTTATGGAAATTCCTAGGAATTTCATTAGAGAAATATTTCATTAGGGGAATAATTTCCCATGAAATAACAATTCCTATGGGAATTTGTTTCCCATGTCAACCAAACGACCCCTTAATCATGATGAAGCCCTCCCAGAAAAAGCTAGCTAAACAATGAAATCACATTTCCTCCATCAAATTACAATCAAACCGAAGTCCAATCCAATTTGACTCTCAAAGGTGTTCCCCTAGACTGTGCATCTTTCAATATTACTAAGTCAAGCATCAGAATCATAAATGATTTTTATTTTTTTCTTAAATTTGGATTTGCACTGGTCAACTTTGGTGGCTGATATATATCCCATTAATGCTTTCCTGGTTTCCCATATAGATAAAATTTGTATTTCAGAGAAATAGCGCAGAGAGAGCAGGTTTGCAATAAACAAAATAAGGGCCGGCAAAAGGGAGAAGAGATCTGTGAATATTATGAACAAAGTATTATATATAACAAGGAGTGGAAGTTTATGGCTGTATATAACTAAACAGATCATGTGCATAGGCAGAATCAAAACTAACCAAAAATGTCAATAGCCTAGCTGCAGAGGAGAAGTGACATCCAAACAAATGATAATATTAATAAAATGTTCAGTTACCTGAGGTAGGTTCATCAGTTCAAGAACAGCTGCTTGAGGAGTCAACTCATTGTCGATTATTCTGGCTACTGCTGTCAAAACTGGCATCTTGACTTTATATTTTTGGGCCAAAGCAATGACAGCTCCAGCTGTAGCAACACCTTCAGCAACCTGAATAATGAAAGATTCTTCAAGGATGAGAATCAAAATGCACAAAATTCTTGAAAAGACATAGCGGAAGATGCTGGTTTCGCACCTGATTCATTGAGCTCAGTATATCTTCAAGTCTCTCCCCTGACCCAAGACGAACTCCAACTGTCCTATTTCTTGAAAGTTTAACAAAGCATGTAAGCATAATGTCTCCAGTTCCTGATAGCCCTGTAAGTGTTGCAGACTTGGCGCCCATCTACATTGCAGAAGATGAAAGGAGCGTAAGTTGAAGATTGGATGCATTGCCCTGTCAAGCCACATCATCCAAGAAAAGAGAGAGAACCAAAGCAGGGTCAGGGCATGAGGAAGTATCAAAACCATTTTTTGCCAGGAGCATATGGCACAATTCCTGATTTAAAAAGTATGCGTTTTATACAAATTTATAGCTACAAGTGCTTGAAAATGCCAGCTTGTTTTTGGTTTAAGAACTACCATAAGTTGAAGATTTCCTCTCCATTCACGTTGGAGAAAAGGCCAATAATAGAGGCAGGATATGAGGAACAAAACAAAACTTTTTAAGGATCAACAGGCAGATTTTGTGAGTGAAGAAAAACTTGCTTTCTGTTTTCAGTGCAACTAGTGCTAAAACTTGCAACGTTCATTTTCTTCTAAAAACTACCATATTTCCACAGAGAAACATGGACATCTTAAATATAAAATGGCTGATGAAAAGAACTCAACGACTCTATACCTTTTTAGCTAACCAACGAATTTCTGAGCAACCTTGAGCAACAAGAGCAGCCATGGAATTATTGCCCAGATCCATCCCCTCCACAATTCCAGCTGCTATAGCCAGAACATTTTTCAGTGCACCAGCAATTTCAACCCCTGTAACATCACTGAAGCATCAGAGCTTATGAGTTGAGTAAGGTAAGCAAGCTGAGAAGTGAGAATACAAGAAATTGAAAATCTCTATAACCACAGATCTATAAAAGGCCAAGATCCATTTCACCATTACCTTTGCAACTTCATCATACTTTCTCAGTCCCAAAATATTTTCCCTCTGGAATATGTGACTTGCCACAATATGAATAACAAAGTGCAAACGGAGCAATATATATTTGGGATGAGAAGCTTCATTAAAGTATGCAAACACTAATTTATAGATAGCGTAAGAAATGATAAAACATTGTCAATTTCGCTTAAACCTTGCTAATCATGAAAATCTACAAAGACTACAAAAGTATGCTACATACAACATATCAACTTGATCTTAATTAAATGAGGTTGGGGGGTTCACAAAAAAGCTCTCACATTTTTTGTCAAAGTGTTGCAATTTTAGTGTAACGGAGGAAGTAATAGATTCCCGATTAGCCTCTTATTGCAGTTTCTTACAAAAGGGTGAAATATACCTTGAAGTGTTGATTCTTAGCCTTTCAGAAGCTAGAAGCTGCTGAACTTGATTCGCCAATTTCTTGTCCCTTGAAGCAACTACTAGGGCTGTAAGATTAAAACTTAGCATAAGTGGAAAAGTATGGAGAAATAATGACACGATTGAAGCAATTTGATATGCTAACACTTTTAGTCAGAAACACAAGGGACCTGTTGGCAGTTTGCTCATCAATTCCGATGCAAATGAAGGCCCTGATAATGCAACAAAAGGTTGGCGAGGATTTTTTAATGCCTGCGGAATGATTTGAGACATCATCCGTAGTGTATTAAGCTCCAAACCTTTGCTAAGTGAAATGAATGGCAAGCCGGGATCAACATAATCCACAATGCTTTCAAGAAAAGCAGCAGTAAACTGCAAAAGATTGAAAAACAATGGCCGATTAGGCCACATGTGCACAGCAGAGTAAGAAGACATAGAACATGCATTCTCACTCTTCAATGAAACACAAATGAACACGGCATACAAGTTTACTAAGAAAAAGAGGCCATAACAAACTAATGGATAAAAGATTGGAAACCTGCACTGGTACAGCATGAAGGCAGAAATCAGCACCTTGCAGAGCATACTTGGCATCAGTTGTGGCAATAAGATTTTCTGGTAGCTTATGATTTGGAAAGTATTTACTGCAATGAAACCATGAAAAGGTTGAATACAAAATATCCCTGTGGAGAGCCAAGTCTTTGAGCGAATCAAGTCAAGGCTTTACCAATTGAGATGGTTTTGATTAATAGATTGACAAACATGAGGATCACGTACGAGCATACTGACTTCCATTTCTGCTTTTCTATTTGCAACATGAGCTGCCATAGCTGTACCAAATGAGCCACCTCCAAGCACCACTACCTATAAATAAGGCAATACTAAATAATAAGTTAAAAAGAATTGCAGCATAGATTGCAGGTGAGACCAAACAAAAGAACGTTATTGACAAGAATCAACCACATATATAATTTTTGACATTATCAACATGCAAAAGAAACAAACCCAGACTGATTAGCACTTTAGATACAAGTCAAACTACAAGGGAAAAACCAATGATTTAGAGTAACT